GTGCCACCTGGCCAGAAGGAGTAGCTTCCTGTGGAGCGGTCTGGTGTACACATGTGTGTAGTAACTCCTCATTGTTCTGGCTGCCTATAGCCAGAAAGAACTCTGGGTAGGGCAGCCTGACATGTGCATGGTTCCTTGCTCTTCTGATCTGGGTTGTGTTGACTGGTGTGTGGGCAGCATGCACTATTGTTTTAATTGTCTGTTACCCAAGTTTGGACTGGTGGGGTAGCCCTGTCTGCATGTACCATAGCACTTTGCTGGTTCTGCACTTTCTCCAGGCAGGACAGTCCAATGTGCTTGTGTAGTTGTGCTACACCAGTTCCATATTATCTCCAGGTGGGGCAGCCCTGCATTCACTCACAGAAGCACTCCTCTAGTTCCATATTTACTCTTGATTGGGCAGCCCTGTGTGTATGCACCATAGCACTTTACTAGTTCTGCATCTTCTCTTGGGGCAAGCCTACATGCATGGGGGCACTAGAGCACTTTGCTAGTTTCACACTGTCTCCGGGTGAAAGAATCTTGGGTGCACATCCCAGTGGATGCACAAAGCAGCCCCCTGCCACACCTGCTAGGTCAATCTCAGAGTGGAGGGCTCCATGTGTGTGCATTATAATACCCTCCTTTTCCTGCTGGAGGTAGTCCAGAAGGGGTTGCTGGAGATGCACTGCAGCAGCCCTGCAAATCAGCCCGAGAATCTGGATGGAGCTCCTGCTTGCTGTCCACATGCAGAGAAAATGTAAATAATGGTGCTTATTGGTTCCTATGGTCTTGGAGAGTTCCCTCAGCTCCCAGAGACCATTCATGGTTTCCCAGCCTTCTTTATGTGGTCTCTTGTTTGTTGTATAGTAGCTGTTCAATTGGCCCTCAGTTTACTCTCAGGAGAAATTGCTCCAAATATCCAATGGTTCTTAGCAGGGGGTGAGCTCAGGTCCTCCTTCACCACCATCTTGGCCCCATGTCCCAACACTGTTCTTTTTTTAAAGCTGTTTTAGCTATTCTGAATCCCTCACATTTCTGTATGGACTTTAGAATCAGTTTTTCAATTTCTATTAAAAGTCTGAACCTTTTTTATTGGGATTGTATTGACATACAGATCAATTGGGAGAGAATTGACATCTTAGTACTATTAAGTCTTTGAACCATAAACATGGCATTCTTCATTTTTTTTAGGCCTTTTTAAACATTTCTCAGCAATGATTTCTGGTTTTCAATGTATGGATGGGTCTTTCACATCTGTTGTCTAATTTATGACAAAGTGTTTTCTATTTTGATGCCATTATAAATGGTATTTTAAATTTTAAATATCAGACTTTTGTTGTGGGTAGAATGAAATAAAATTGATTTTCATTTACTGACCTTAAATTCATACATTTTGTTATAAACTCACTTATCTGCTCATTAAATGACTTGCTTAAACTCACTTATTAGTCCTAATAGCTTTTTTTGTATCCTTCATTACATTTTCTTCATAGATTATGTTGTCTATGAAAAAAGACTTTAACTTCTTTTCCAATCTTTCATTTATTAAGATAACTCATATATTTTCTTGCCTGACTACATTGGCTAGAATCTCCAGTATAATGTTAACTAGAAGTAGATAGGAATTATAATGTTTTCTAGTCTGGCTGGTAGGAATAGGCACTGTTGCCTTTGTTTCAGTGTTGAACACTATTTCCTCATATTTGTTGACACAGGTCTTTACCTGTCCCTGGTTAGTTTCATCATATGTACCTGTTAATCTATATTTTGTTTGAGGAGGAAACTGTAGATCTCTGAAATCCTCTCCTTGTGAACTGTAGCTGCTTTGGTTTTCCTGTTTTTTTCATCCCCATCTCTTCAATTCAGGGAGTTCACTGCTTTTATCCTGGATCTCCTCCCTCTGCTGTAATCTAGAAACTCTCTTAGGGCAGTAATCAGGTGTGGTTGCAGGTGTCAGCATTTTGGAAAACCCTAACTTAACTCTGGTGCCGTGTCACATATAGAAATTTTTTGATATTTGCAACCATAGTAAAACAAAGACTTATATTTTTGATATTTATTTTATATATTTAAATGCCATTTAACAAAGAAAAATCAACCAAAAAAATGAGTTCGCGTGTCACCTCTGACATGTGTGTCATAGGTTCGCCATCACTTAGATGTTTCACCCTCAGATAGGCCTTCCTTCCCTGACACTCATTTTCCTCTTTCATAGCACTGCTACTTTTTTTTTCAATTATTACAGTGTATCTACAGAATGAATAAAATTTTTAAGTTACCATTTTTATTGGTTCTTTCTTGAGGTATTCCTTCTTTTTTTATTATTATTATTTCTTTATCATTCCCCACACACTGAAAAAAAACCATTCAGTGAAAGAAGGAAAATATATACAGGCCTGAGACTTTTCAAAATCTTCATATATTTAACTTCTTTGTGGCTTGGTTCATTTTCTATTATGGTAACAACGTCTAATATTTATAGAAGTCCTTTTACAAACATCAACCAAAAAAAGTTCTAAAAGTCTCTAAGGGGGGTAGGCATTATTCTTTTTACTTTATAATTTAAAAAAATCTCAAAGCTGTTAAATGACTTGCTTAAAAAATGTAATGAGCAGGTAATAGTAGAAAAGGCAGAAATGGATATAAACATTTTGATCCTATATCTGTTGTTCTTTCTAAAGCATTTCATTGCTTCTACAAATCATAATTTGTAAAGTACAGGTTTCCTTTATAAAGATTTAGGGAAGTCGGCTCCTTGGAGCCTAACCTATGTTGTTACAAGATGACCAGTGAAAGAATCCAGGAAAAGATTGCAATTGAGATGTTTCTCAAAATGAAAAATATAAGGTTCAAAATAGAATATGGTATCACTTTGAGAACAAAATTGACATAATAAAATGTAAAAATGGATTTCTGATAACATCTTGTCCATTCTCTTTGGGAAGAAATAATTTTAAATTGTTTCATATTTTATATGTGACTTTATCAACTACTTAAAAAAAGTAGTTTCTGATTATAGAATAATGAAATTTGTTTACATTGTTTTTGAAACTTGAAGAGACACAGGATATAAAGTCACTTTTGCATTAGACAGGTCTTAGTTTGTTCTCACTTATTCTGTGTAACTATGAGAAATTAATTTAATCTCTTTTAACTTAAATTTTCTCATCTGTAAAGGAACCTACTAATAAATATCTATCTTCCTGAAAGGGTTATAATGACCATTAAATAATATAACACCCAAATTGCCAAGCACAATCCCAGAACATAAAAGACACTCAATAGAACTGGGTTAAGTTTCCCCAAATAGGGGAAAGTAATCAAGATATGCTTTTCTGAAAGCTAGGAAACAATTCATGAAAGACTGTACACTCTCCCTATTATAATAAAATAAAACTGTAGAAATGTAACCAGGTCTAATAGTTAAATTTAAAACTTATTTTTAAAAGCAATTCCAGGATATACATTATAGAATCAGTCTCTTATCAAAATATATGATGTGGATTATCAAGAGAAGATTTTAAGAAATATGCTTTCAAATCTCAGGGCTTGTCTCAGTCCCTATGAAGCCTACTAAGGGAGACTTGGAGGATCTCTTTAGGGCCTTGTAAGAACTTGATTTTACTTCTGTCTTCACCCCTTAAAATTTGTTTTTAAAAAACTCTGATTTCTTTTGCAAAATTCCAGTGAACCCAGTACTACAGAAGCTATTTCTGCTCTCATTTGTCAAATTTGAAAAATCCCCTGACCCTTCTTCAGGTGAGCAGAAAGAGCCTGTTGTCATTCTCTATCTTGCTACTTTCAGCATTTACTTACTGAGCTCATAATTGTGCTGGGTGTAGAGGATATGAAGTAAGTAAACATACAACTAAATGGTTCAGATACTACTGTATACAAGCCTGTATACTGGAGGCATTTAAATAAAGGAATTGGTATAACAGAAAGCAACAGAAGCCAACATAGATATCAGTATTCTAGTCACAAGACACCAGGAGCAGAGGCAGTGAGAAGCACCCCAAAAGGGGGTGCTCTGCTAGAGTAGAAAACTAGAAAATAATTATTAGCAAAAATAATTTCTTGCTTCCAGAAAAATTTCAAGGACTTCACAGAGACAGACATCCTTTAGCTAGAGAAACAACAAAGGTTTAGTTTTTTATAAGTGATGTGATTCCATTAGTATCTACAAGCTGGTGAGGTCTGAAGAAATTAAAAATAAAAACAACATACATGTGTCTGTACATTTTATACAAATGAAGCCATCTTTTATATATTGTTAAGGAACATGCTTTTAAACATAACATTGATTTACTATCCTAAACATCTTATGTCAATAAATATTCACCTATAACATCACTAGTATCATTTGCACCTCTAAGCATATCCTCACTCCCCTCTTTTTCTGTATCATTTTTTAGAATTGCTTACTCTACCATCTTCAGATTTGCATTTGTTACCATGATAAATAATAGTACTGACTCTTTTATTTGTGACCTTAACTCACCAACTTCACAGTGTTTGGTACATGAATCACTATAGAAATGTTTGTGTATTCTATTTTAAACCATCAGAAATTAGGAATACATAGCTATCTCTAAGAAATCTAATTACTTACAAAAAGGAAATACTGTGGCCTTGGTTAGAATAATTTTATAAAATGGTCAAAGGCACAAGGTTTCTAAAATAATATTCAATTATTATTGATACTGGTATATCAGGTTTTTTATTGATAAAAAACAATAAAACAAAAGACAAGTGACTCTTGGACAAATAGGATGTGGTCTGCATGGTTTGAAATAAACACTAAAACAATGGATATGAGTAATTGGGTCATGACAATAACTATTTGAAATTTTTAAATAATTTTTATTAAAATAATCAGGCTGCACTTCCATAACAAAACAAAAATTTGCATGCATGCTGAATGTGTTTTAAAAAACACATTACTGAGCACAGATGTACGGATTTAATGCAAGCATTATGACTTAAAATGCTATTTGCCTAACTGTAATAGAACTTACTCCGATAGGAAGTACGGATCCGTTTCGTTAAATCAGGATAAAAGTTAGACAGGCCACGCATGCAAAAGTTGTCTTTGGAACATGCCAGAACACCAGCATCAGCAGCAGGCAGGGGAAAGAGAGAGAAATAGTCTAAAGTGAAAGGAAGTGATATCATACCAGAATCTAGAACAGCCAAGATGAAGAAATTGCAGCAAGTTTAGGTAATCAAATTAGAAAGAAGATATTAAAAAAATAAGTCAATTAGAAAGTAAAATGTGATAGATGAATGATGAGAATGCTGTAGTAATTTTATTTAATCAAATATGCCATCTATTTTTATAAGATATTTATCTTATGTTCTTTATGTAGTAAACTTATTTGGTTTGCAAATAATATGTTACCTCATAAATATCACAATGGTTATCTTTAATTTTCTGCATTAAAAATAAAGCTTAGGGACTTTAGTCTTTAATATTTTATTTATATAACAAAGTGAGTACTCATTTTATACACTAAATATGAAATTTATGACTTCATTACAGTTTTTCCTAATTTTAAAGTCATCAAAATTGTAAGATCTAATCATAAATGTTAATGCTCAACAAGATTAAATTAAGCAACAGTTGTATTATTTGTTATCCCACTGTGTATATCCAGCAATAACTTAGATACTGCCAGAGAATCCAAAGCTTTTGATTGAATTGGTGCTTTCTGTATGCAAACAGTGCCTACTATCTTCTAACTTCTTTCTGCCCTTAAGTTCTTAAACTTTCAAAAGTCAACCCTCTTTTTCCCAATCATGAGGGAATTTTATGATACCTGCACACACAATTTTTCTTATTCTGTCTTATTTTCAAAATCAAGTAGTGGTTGAGACAGAACCTATTAAATTTGAAATTTCTAGCATTCCTAAAATATTGTTAAAAGTTGAGATTTCTAACAAAAACCAGGTTCTAAAAGAGAATTTCTGTGTTCCTGAAAAGGGTCAAACTTGCATTTTGAAGAGGATTGAGGTTTACAATAAACAGAGATTCAGTATATCAAGTACTTTTTTTATTAGTCTAAAAGAAAACTTAAGTCTTCAGTATCACATTTAGATGTTAAATTTAGAACATAACAACTACCATCATGCACTGTTTTTATTTTAAAATATTCTTGTATGAGTATATTTATTAAAGCCTTCCATAGTCTTCAATTGATTAAAACATTTTTAAAAAAACTATCTAAAATGTAAAGAAACTGTATATTTTCTGTCTACTGATATAATACTATTAGAGGCCCGATGCACAAAATTCGTGCATGGGGGGGTGGGGTCCCTCAGCCCGGCTGCACCCTCTCCAATCCAAGACCCCTTGGGGGATGTTTGATTGCCGGTTGGACATCACTCTTGCAACCTGGGACTGCTGACTCCTAACTGCTCACCTGCCTGCTGGCCTGGTCACCCCTAACCACTGCTGCCTCGGCCCCCACCACTGTGGCTTTGTGTGGAAGGACATCCGGATGGATGTCTGGAAGACGTCTGGTCTAATTACCATATTCCCTTTTATTAGTATAGATTATACAACATAAGCTTTAAGGTAGAATAGCATTAGTAGAAATGAAGAGACATTTCATTAAAAAATGTATATTGGGCCGTAACCAGTTTGGCTCAGTGGATAGAGCGTCGGCCTACGGACTGAAGGGTCCCGGTTCAATTCCGG